AGAGAGGAATCAAGTGTTTGTGGGAAACTAAAGGCAGATTAAAAAAAGGATGCTTTGAGGAGGGATTAGCTGACTACAACAATTTACATTTATATAGGACCTTTCATGTAAAAAAAGCACTCTGCGGAGATTAATTAGAAATTAAGTGAATGACATTATGTAGACAAATGGGGTAGCTAACTTTCTATAATCAAAAATGAGAAGAGCAACGGTCAATTCATTTGAATTTGCGTTGAGGAGGGAATATAAACCAGGATAACCTGGAAAAAAAATCCTTTTTTTAAGTAGCGATGGGAATGTGGGAGGTGGGGGAGGGGAGAGGAGGAAATTCCCCCCTTTAACACCCACTTGAATCACAAAGCAAAGAGAATCTAAATTACCAGCCCTATTACAAAATTAAAGATGATAATATGGAAATCTACAAGTCAGAAATACTTACCTTGCACTTCAAATACAGTGTTGGTTTGTGGCTGATCTGAAAAAGCCAAAGCCCAAACAAACAGATGAGAAGTCAGATTACTGTAATTTGAATACTGCTGGGTGAGAGAACTCATGAGAAGGACACATGGGAATGGGATTATCAAAAGAAGTGGGCGAGAACAATCTAAAGCAGTATCACACACAGTATCTGAATATACCCCCGCCACACACACACACACACACACACAGATTACTCCCAAACATATCATCCAGTGAAGGCTGCTCAGAGCTCTTCCTCCTGATCAAAATGAGCAATCTTAACATCGCAAGTGCTGAAACAAATTATTTGAAACAATTTTTTTAAAAAGTATTTTCATTTTCATCTGCAAGATTTACAAATCTGCGTGAGTCACAGTAACGTGTAAACTCACACTGCACTTGTGTATTTTGAAAACCAAACAACTTCTCAACAGTAAACGCCTGTGTGGAGAGCCTCAGGAAGATGCTCTATTGATATTCAAGACACTTGCCTTCCGCCCTCCCAGCGCTCAACAAGTCTGGCAAAAGAGAACGAGGGGGAAAAATGGCAAGTCCTTGGCCCAGCACATTAATGCAGGTTCACTCAACTCCATGGATGGCCAGGAATATGTCTTAAACACCAGGTGCCTCACAGCTACGCACTGTAGTCCTCAGGATGGCCTTCCACACCGCATGATGTTGAAGTAGCAAAAATCTCCCTGAAGCAGCATTAGCATTTACACATTAGTGCCAGCTCAAGCATCCTCTGTGATCATCTCACCGCTTTGCATCAGAAAAGGCAACCTTTAGAGTCGGCACTAACGGCTGGGCTGATCCACCACCAACTCACCCCGAGGACTGACAAGAGCCGACCGTTTTGTTATCAAACTCCGAGGGAGGTGCTCCAAATACTCCTCTGAGTATTCGGCCTTTGCCAACAATGTGAGCACAGAGGAAACCAGCTCCTGCTTCTACCGCTATGCAAACTGAGACCATATTACATTCCTCAGTGCAGCACAGAAGAGGCGTCACTGTATTCCATTTTTGTACGTTTTTTCCTTCTGCATTTCCCACTCTCTTTCTCCCCTGCCCCCATCTTGCTCTTCTTTCTGCTCCAGACTTCAAAGGCCACATTGCTGTGTAATCACTGGTGCTGCCTCCATGCTGATCTTTTGTTTACTCACAGGAAGAGGAGAGGAGAGACAAAAGGGACTGAACTGGCTGTCAAGCTGAAAATTACTGGCAAAGGACACAGAAGTTTGAAATCACAATCTCGAATGTCAGGACTGACGGCAGGTAACGGAGGGCTGGCAGGCGTGCCCTGTATTTGGGACCAGGTAAAGGTACATCGGGAGAATTGTAATGTACAACATTGCTATGAACCAGAAGTAAATCACTTCATCCATATTCCTGACTCATGTAGCACTGACTGGCCACAGCAGAGGGCTTCTGTTCACTCTTTCAACCAAACGTAGATAACTAATGTTGGAGGAGGCATCGGTAACTCAAAAAGATTGGAACTTATTACAATACAATACAAAATTACATTTGTAAAGCACCTTTCACGTCGGGAAGACATCCCAAGCCGCTGAACAGTCAGGGATTTGGAGCCGAGCTAAGGGTTGGGATCAGGGAGGGTGGAGGGCAGAGAGGGTAGGAGTGTGGCCGAAGGCACGGTCGAAGAGGAAGTCTTGAGGGGTGCCTTGAAGGAGGCAAGGGAGGGAGCACAGGCAAAGGGAATGTGGGATGGAGTTCCAGAGGGTGGGGGCAGAGAGGCTGAAGCCTGACCGCTGATGGTGGGGCAGGCCGAGCAGGGGACATGGAGCAGGCCGGAGGCTGCTGAGCGGAGGGTGCAGACAGGTTGATAAGGGGTTAGCAGATCGGAGAGATAGAAGGGGGCAAGGCCATGAAGGGCCTTGAAGGTGAGGACAAGAATTTTGAACTCAATCCTCTGAGGGATGGGGAGCCAGTGGAGCCGGGTGGGGGTGGGGTGATGGGATCACGGAGTCTGGTGCGGGAGAGTGCAGCTTGTGGAGGGAAGTGCTGGGAAGGCCGACAAGCAGCGCATTGGCATAATCGAGCCTGGTTGTAATGAAGGCATGAATGAGGGTTTTGGCGGCCTGAGGGGTGAGGCAGTGACGGAGTCAGGCAATGTTGCGGAGGTGGGTGAAGGCAGAGCAGGTTATGGCATGGATATAGTGCAGAAAGGACAGTTGAGGGTCGAACCATTCAAGGACAGAGCCTTGAAGGTTAAGGTGAGAGGAGAGGGGTGGAGGAGGATAGAGTGGTCCACAGTGTCAAAGGCAACAGAGATGTTGAGGAGGACGAGGAAACAGAGGGAGCCCTGGTCACAGATGGACATCTAAAAAATATACATTATGATTTCTGGATAGTGAGTCGAATATCAACTTAGCATCATTCCAGTTATATAATTTACATGGAATATCTCTAAGCATTACATATTCATGTTAGTCCTGTGTAAGGAGTTCTCTACTCTCCCAAGTTTACTGCGAGAATCCCTGAACATATTGGAATAGTAAATGGTCGATCTATCTCTTTTGCACTCTGCCCTGCTATTTGACATAGCGCCTTATCATGTCGTCGAGATGCCTCAAAGAGCTTCACAGAATAAACTGTAGAGTGTATTTTGTGGACGAAACACCCACATTATTTCCACCCTTTACATGGTTATTTAGCCACTCTCAAATAACGTAGCTCATACACTTCACTATTCTCAACACACAACTTCAAACATTGAGCAGATCTTCATGGACCATCAGTAATGCAGCTTTCACTTAGTTAAAATGAGTGCATGCTCTGTATCAATACATCCGAGCCATCATCAACTTCTCTCAAATGCCTTAACAGGTGTAAATGCACTAGACAGTGTGACCCTGGGTCCTACTGACCAGCAAACTTCCACATTGTATCCAGTGCTGTGATTATTTGGCTGATCTCATCCAGAGAAGCAATGGGAGGCTCACCAATGTCTTTTGGCTCAGGAAGGGGAATAAAATCAGAGACCGGTCAGGGAGTATTGCTCATCAGTATCCAATGGATAAGGGTAAGATGACATACCCTCCTCCCACCCCTTGCGATTCAATAGCTGGTGAGCACCCACTGCCTAGGTTCACTCCAAGCCAAGGTTTGGGGACCCCAGGTTGTGTGTTGGGATACTGCTGGAGTCTAACCAGCTAATGCCACATAGCTTGCCATTGATATCTCTGTCTGGCAAGCTCTTCCCGCTGCTTGTTCAGCTAGGACCACCCTACCAATTAGGGCTTTGGCTTGTAGGGTTAACAGATGCTGAGTGGGGTGATTCCCTGCCCCCAGTGACTCATGAGTAGCAATCTTGATGAGACATCACAGCAGCTTTAGGAAACGAAGGCAACAGAACTAATGTTTATCAGTCCTAAGACTTAATGGAAACTGGTTATAAATTCGAGACAACCTCCAGCAATTTTTTTTCTTTGGAGTCTGGGTCAGATCACCAGTTAGGAAGGGCTCAATCAGAGTCCTGGCTGGTACAATCACCCACGCACCATGCACATCTTGTGCAGTTAGAGGGAGCTACATTATAAACACGTCTAACATGGATCGGAGCCCCTCATTGTAAAATCCAAGATCAGTCCAGCATGGCCTTCTGAATCTTGTCTCAGGGCCTGAATTTTATTTCAACAAACACTGCAAATCAACTCCCGCTCACAAAAAAAATCTCCAGCCCAGCCCTTCACTATCACGATTCAATCAAAGGTCTGGACTGGTTATAATAATAATGTTATCTTCTACAAGGGCTCTGTCACTGATGAAAGTGGTGTGCAGAGCGAAAGGTGTTTCGAAAGACAGTGCTCTGAGTTGCCAAAGCTTAGTCATGTATCGCCACTGGGACTAATGTCAACAACAACAATTTACACTTGTATAGCGCCCTTCACATCGGAAAGACGTCCCAGGGCGCTGGATAAGGCGTTTTGGACCTGAACTGGGAGTTGGGGTCAGAAGGGAAGGAGGGCATGGGAGGTGGAAGTGGAAATTCTTTGGACTTGAAGGAGGCAAGAGATGGGGTGAGGCGGAGGAATTGCAGGATAGAGTTCCAGAGTGTGGGAGTGGTGGGAGCTACAGGATTGAAACTCAAACTGTTCAGAAACAGCAAGAACAAAACTTGAAAGGCTGACAGCCAATCCTCATCCTCCTCCCCTCCCCCAGAGATCGTGTTACTGCTCTCGATGCGATCTTTTCCTTTTTATCATATACTCTTCAAAACATCTCCAAACTTTTGCCTCCTGTCTGACATTGTGGGGCCCGTGACTCCCTCCTTCTCTTCCTGTGTGCCCCTCTATCCCCACCCCACACCACCACTCGGCCAATTTCTGCCAGGCCATTTCACGTGACAAATGTAAGGGCAGAGTCAGTAAAGTGAAGATGGTGTTTCGAGACAAGATCCAAGTTTACAATGGCCAGGACCTTCACTGGGCCTGTTACCATGGGGACCATCCATCAGTGTTGAACTACACTTTAACACCTCAGGGTCAGCTCCCTGCATTTCCAGATTGTAAAAAACTCACCTCACAGACTCTTCAGTCTTTGAAGCACTTGTGCTGTGACCGCAATGTTTGGATGAGGAACACAACACTCGGGCTCCAAGACCCTTAGCAGTTAATGAGAACTTCACAAGGCACTTTGGGCACTGGTGTTCTTGCTCAAGCACAACTTCTTCACCAAAGCTGCTGCAGGAGAATGTTTTCAGGCAGAAGGGGCAAATTAACTGGTGGTTTTCCATTGTTCCGCCTCTCGAGCTGCCAGAGTGCACCCGGCACTCGCATTCTGAAGTCCTGTCCTCATCCTCGAGCCCTGTCTGCGCTGCTGTGCCCTCCGGCTGTCCATAACACGTCTCTCCGCTGCCGGTGCTGTGCTCTGGCGAGATCCCAGGCCATTCCTCACGGTCCGTGCGACCATTCCCGTTCGCAGAGCTGAAGATGGCCCAAAGGACAGCGGGGTCCTCGCAGTTGTGATAGCTCTGCCAGTGCCCGATCAGTTCCACTTTGCTCTCACAGCCCAACTTGCACAGAATGCAGTTGTAGCCCAAACTTGTAAAGAAATGGATCTCCTCATCTGGCCTCTTGGGAAACGTTCTTGACTCCCCGGCCTGTAGTCTGGGTCGCTCCTTATTGCGCAAAAGCACGTGCTTTTTCAGTTTAGCGTAGGAGTAGAACGTTTTGTCACAAACGCCACACTTAACCAGGGGCTTTTTCTCCACGGGCTGCTTCCAGTAGTTCGCTGCGTGTTTGTACAGCTCTTGTTCGGTTTCCTTGCTGGTGTAGATGGGGAGGCCACTAAGAAACCTGCCTTTCTCTTTCACTGTCCCCTCCTCTACCCTCAGCTGCAGTTCCTCCCTGTGCACACACAACAGGTGAAGCTTCATCTCCACAAAGGTTGGGGTGATGACTTGGCAGCGGCTGCATCTTATCTGCAGATTCCCCGGTCCCATCGCAGCTGCTCGGGGCAGGCTCTCATCTCCCACCTGGCCGGCTCGCTTCCTGAAAAGGGCAAAACAAGCTCAATTATAAAAGAATTAGCTTAAACAACTGTCACTAGACTGTTCTTCCCCACCCCCCTCATCCCACCTCAATGTCTCTTATTACAATTACTGAGGTTAATCGGTTAATCTCTCTCTCTCCATGAATGTAGCACACGTTCACATACACCTATACACACAAGCATTTTGGAGAGGGGGGTCAGCTGGGTGTCCGACACATGCAAACATGCATCGAATTCCATGTAAGAGTGGAAATGGAGTGAATGCTGTCTCCCTGGAGGAACGGGCGCTGCTCACCTTCCTGAAGAGATTGGGCGCAGGTTGGCAATACCCCAAGTTTGGGCACCTCAGAGTCCAGTAAACCTCACATAAGTCGTACCAGTTGGAACCATACATTTAATACGACTTATGCAAAGTATGACTTATGTCAAGCTTGCATAGAATATAAACTCTTGAACGGGACTTGGGAAGATGTACATTTTAGGCGATTATACGATTTATACAGATCAGACTTATGCAAGTTTTACTGTATCTGTTGAAGTACTAATGGAATTTAACCAGCTGAAACTATCATTAACTGGCAAGCTTCCCACTGTTTATCCAGCGAGTACTACCCTAAGCTTTAAGGCTTTGGTTTGCACAGGAGGCGAGTGGGAAGAATCCCCTCTCCCAGTGACTGATCTGCTCCTTCACATCCTGCCAACAATCCCAGCATCAGCAATGCCCCAGAGAACTGCCCCCTCATTTCCCAGCTCAGGAACAGGAGTACCGCGATCACCACAGAGGATCAATTCAATTCCAATATTCCAGAGCAAAGCATATCTCTCCCTTGAGATGGGTAGACATTACTTAGTCATTTTGCTAAGCTAATAGAAAAGTGCGACTGCACTTTTCCCGTGGAATCCGATACAAACGTCCCATTTCCGCTACAAACCCACTATAAATGTAGTATCAATTCCCCTCATTCTTGTACCTTTCACGCTACCATCCTTCTGATCTTTCACTCAAAATTCTCCTCATTTACCGCCTCCCCAAAACCTCCCCCACCTTCATCTCTGACATCTCCGCCCTCCTAGCTTCCCTCTGCCTCTGTTCTGAACGCCTCATCTTCGGGAACTTCAACCTTCACTTCAACCCCTCCTGCTCTATTTCCTTGGACTTCTCCTCTCTCCATTCCTCTCACAACCTCTCCCTCCACATCCACTCTGCCACCCACGTTCATGGCCACCCACTCCACCTGGTGATCACCCAGTTTCTCGGATATCAAAATCAGACAAAGCCATCTCCGATCACCATTTCATCTCCCTTAACTCCCTAAATCCTCTCAACCACCGCCACCCAACCCACCTCCATCTCCGACCTCCCCTGGAAAAAAAATCTCCCCCAATCCCTCTCCGCTGCCCTGGAGACATCTGAAGTCCTCCCACTCTGGCCTATCTCCCATACTGATTTATTCGTCTCGCTCACTCTCCTCCACAACTCCCTCTCCACCACTCTCGATTCCCTAGCCCCCCCTCACCTCCCAAACCGCCTCCTACTCACGAACCTCAATCTGGTACACCAGCCACCTCCGCTGCCTCAAGGGTCAGGTGCGGGCCAAGGTTTTGTAGTCTGTTTCTCAGTCATTGACTTACTGCTCCTGTCCTCTCCCGCACCAGGCTCCGTGACCCCACACCCCTACCCTCGACCGGCTCCATTGGCTCCCCATCCCTCATAGAATTTAAAATCCTCGTCCCACCTTCAAGGCCCTCCAGGGCCTTGCCCGTCCTTAACTCTCTGATCCCCTATCAACCCATCTGCTCCCTCCATTTAGCAGGCTCTGGCTAGCTCTACGTCTCCCGCCCAACACGCCCTACAATCGGTGGCCGGGTTTTCAGCCTCTCTGCGCTCACTCTTTGGAACTCCATCCCACAATCCCTTCACCTCGCTCCCTCTCTTGCCTCCTTCAAGACACGACACAAGACCCTCCTTTTTGACCGTGCCTTCAGTCGCCCTCCTACCCCCTCTACCCTCCCTCATCCCAACACTGCACCCCCACCCCACCTTCGGGTCCTGATCCTTGACTGTTGGACGTCCTCCCAACATGAAAGGGACTTTACAAATTAATTGTGATGTTGTTGTATCTGTCCTACGGGCCTCTCGCTGGTTACCTGAGGTCACTGTGGTCCGGGCGGCTTAGCACATGCATGCACAGTTTAGCACTAACGGGAAATGGGCTTCACTCGGAGACCCCAGTGTTGTGATTGTCTGTGTGTGTCTCTCTCTATCTCTCTCTCTCTCTACGTGTAACTCTCTGTTTGTGAGAGTGCCTGTGTACCTCTATCTCTATGTGTTTGCGAGTGTCTGGGTATGTGTCTCTCTCCTCTGTATGTGTGTCTGTTTGTGAGTGTCTCTGTGTGAGTGTGCTTGTGTGTCTCTTTCCTCTGTATGTTTGTGAGTGTGTCTGCATGTATCTCTTACATGTGTGTGAGTTTCTGAGTCTCTCTGTGTGAAAGTGTATGTGTGTTACTCCTCTGTCTGCGTGTGTATATATCTCTGTCTATGAGTGTGTGTTTGTGTCTCTCTCTCTGAGAATGTGTGTCTCGCTTGGTGTCTGTGTGTGTCTCTCTCTGTGTGAGTGTGTGTCTCTCTCTCTGTGTGAGTGTGTCTCTCTTTCTCTGTGAGTGTGTCTCTCTCTGTGTGTGAATGTGTGTCTCTGGGCTACCCAATTTTTGATAAAGAAGAAATTAATATTTTCTTACCCAACAATCTGTGTTATTTTCTCATGTTTAGTTTTTATCAATAAAGTACAAAAATGTAGGTTGGCAGTAAAAATGTACCTCAATAGCACCAATCAACCGGCCATGCAATTTCTCAGGGAATTTTCCAATCTCCCCACACTCTTTTGGCAAATATTTCCGCACTATTCTATTGATCCAGGTCATTGTATAGTTTTGTAACTCAGTGGTTAGAGCAAGCGAGAGACCTGAGTTTGATTCTCAGCAGGGTGAAAAGTTGGGCAAGTTTCCTTACTCCACACGCCTCTGTTTACCTAGCAGTAAGTAGGAACCCGGTTGTTAGTCAATTGGCGGATCATTTTTCCGGGGTAATAATCACTTCAAAACAAAATAAAAATTGATCACTTCAATCCACGACTGTTTGTGGGACACTGCTGTGTCTGTCCCACAATATTAGGCATCTGACCAGTGGAGGTTTGAGAGAGAGCGAGAGACATACACACACAAATACTAGCACTGAAAATGTGAGCAAGGGTCAGACCATCCAGTACACAACTTCCTCCTCCCTGAAGCAGGATCAGTATTGATGGTGCCCACACAGAGACAGACCCCCATAGTATGGAAGGTGCAGCATATTGCTAATAGGAAATAAAGAACCTGGTGATCACACTATTCATTTCGCCCACAAAATACACCCATCAATATATTCTGTGAAGCGCTTTGAGACGTCTCAATGACGTGATAAGGTGCTTTATCAAATGCAAGGATTATTATTATTATTTTTACGTTAGATTTTCAAAAATGCTTCGACGTCCGTAAAAAGAAAATGAACAGATTATTAAATCGAGGTGTAATGTTCACATGGAATAGCTTGGGCCTTTGAAACAATACAACAATTTAGTTTCTGTTACACACAAACCTTTCCTGTGGAAGTCGCTTCAGCTCAGACCTGGAGAGCACTGAAATAGCAAAGCACTGAATGGTGCTTCAACCAGCAGATTAAGCTGTGAGCTGGAGGAGAATGGAGAGGGTGGTGCGGGGGTGGGGGGAGAACGGGGAACCAAGATAGCCTGAACAGACTATGAGCCATGTCCTTCTGTAAAGTAACTGTCACCCAATAAATTCCTGAAGTGCTCCTCAAGTGGAAGAGCACAGCTCATTGACCAGTAAGGCTCGCTCACGGACCAACTCCTCCTCCCTCATTCTTCCCTGGCACTGATAAGAGCAGCTTGTACATTTTATACTCTTTCTCTTCACTTGGGCCCCCCCACCCTAACACCCCCACACACACTTAACTTGAAATACCAATCACGGAACATGGTTCCAGTCTGCTTTTTGCCCCATAAATATCCCACAGTCACACAAGGAGATCCTCAGAGTACATTAATAGTCAATGCGTTAAAGGTGAGACTTTGCTGATCTCACGTTACTTCAGAGCACATCTGTTATGACTAATATGGCACATTTCTTAGTATGGTATCCAACTATGAGCTACCTAATAAAAACTTTACTTTGGATTTTTTTTGCATTCCTCCCCACCCGCCCCAATAACTGCACTGCAACTTGCAGGTTACACTAGTCAATACCCTGCAGCAGTGTGAGAGGCATTTAACAAAGCGCCAACTTGGATCAATTAGCAACAGCAGAGAGAGAGAGAGGGAGAGGGAGATCTCACAACGATCTCCGTCACACGTTTGTTGTTGGCAAAATGCAACTCCTTCCCGAGAAGGAAATCAAACCGTTATGTAAACAAAGCTAATCCACACTTCCCCGAAACGTTGGGAGTCCAACAGACCCACCGAATGCTATCACACGTCTCCCAAACTGGCCGCTTCACACAACTGCTCAGCACGCTGACACGACAGCTGGTCTAACTTTATATAAAAAGGCATCGTCGGCCACAAAAACAACCTTGGGGGCCAAGTTATTTTATTATTTTGTTCCTGTGTTCCGTTTGCGTGCCTGACACGCCCGGAATGGGGGCAAGAGGAGGGGGGGAAATGGGTGCGGACGTATCCCCAGGCCTCCATAAACACATACTTCCATTGGCAGGGATATTATCAAGCCCTTAGATTTTCACTCTCTCCCCACTTCTCCGGCAAACAACAACAACTTACACACATAATAATAATCCTTGCATTTGATAGAGCACCATATCACGTCTTTGAGACATCGCAAAGCATTTCATAGAATATACTCTAAAGTAAATTGACTGTAAATTTTGTGGGATGGTAAAACTTGCATTTATATAGCGTCCTTCAAACAGGGCAGCGTTTCGGAGCAC